CGTCAGTGAGAACGATGTTATAAATTATTGTTGAAAGAAATACGGTGTCTCTCATAAGGGCAAGCAAAATCAGTGGATGAAAGAAGTGATAGAAAGATCGATAGCACTGATATGATCAAAGAGAGCGATCTAATAAAATTGTAGTCTAGAGCTCTAATTCGAAATGAAAGACGTAGACTAGGAAGAAAGTAAATAGCGCTATCGCAATATACGGGGGCATTGTGATGGCAGTGCATTTGAAACCATTAAGACATGTTTTTTTTTGGTAAAAACGGGACTAACATAAGCCTTAGACGGGGAGAAGAGTCCAGGGTGTGTGAGCCACATTTTCATTAGAGGATGCCCCGTATATTGCGATAGCGCCGAATAAATTATATAGCACGGCATATAAATAGATCTCTGAAGGAAATAGGGAATTATTTGTCATTCGTACATTGTCCGCTTTTCAGCGACACATTATCAATGGCCATTGTTCGATCGTCGGTGGCTGAGTTGAAGAACTAGGATGCGAGAAATCTGAAAATGAAAGCATCCACCGCTGCCCTTGGACGCTGCGCTATTTGGATGTACTATGTATGGTACATTCTATTTGATTGGACACTAAATCGCTACAGTACGCACTGCGACTCGTCCGGTGACTCGTGTGCGTCTCTAGCTTCTCGCCGCGAGACAAGCCTCCTGTCGGGTACCCACATCATAGGCACCGCGACCGCAAACATCCAGTGGCTGCCGACTCACGGGGGAGAGGTCTTTCGATGCTAACCGTGCTTTTCCAAAACGGGTGCCTTGCATATGTAGGGACGCATGTATGGACCACAAACCATGTTTTTCGCTGAACGGTTTTAGTAGTATCAAAAAAGTGGTGAATGATACTCTTAATGGTTCGATCCCCGCGGCTAAATTTTGCAATCAAGGTTGGCGGCCACTTGTTGGCTTCAAAATGGTCCTGACGATGAATTTGACATCTGATTTTGATATTTAGCGCGATTTGGCACCAACCCGTAGGCGCCAACCCAAATGCAAAATTTAGTCGCCACGGGGGATCGAACCCTTAACAGTACCTTTCACAACTTTTTTGGTACTACTAAAACCCAGAATAGTTCATGTTCGACCTTCTTGCAATCTTGGCATGGCAATCTTGGCAGGCTCTGGCGAAGACGAAGAAGCCGAAACGTGAGCCCAACAAAAAGTTTAACCTTGAAAAGCTTGAAAAATCATTCCTGCTACTAAAACCGTTTAGCGGGAAAAAGCATGATTTTGTGGTTCCATACATGCGCTCCTACAAGAAGCAAAACCGTTCTGAGAAAGCGCATCTTGCTCCTAAAGGCCCTCCTTGTCAGGCACTCCTGTTCAGAGTACACAAACAGCATATTGTGATTGTGGTTAGAGGTTCACTTTCAGTAAGTAGGTATAGCACGGTGCTTAGATCTTCAGAAATTCTCTCCTTGAGTGAGGTAACCGTACGCCGAATCACCGAGGTGGTAGTGCTGCCGCGATGAAAGTGTGTGCCAAAGGAGCGATCGTTTCTCGACGACGCGCTGCAGCCCGTTGTCTCTTCCAGGAAGGCATATATCAAGGCGTCTGCGCCTCACACTGTCTTCGCCCCTTTTCGGTGCTCTCTCTCGTTTTCGCTCTTCCTCGCATCACTGTGGATTCTCCACCCTTTACCACGTGTTGACCTTCACAAAAGGGAAATTCCAGAGTTTTTCATGACTGATTGTTTGTCTTTTTTCCACCCATTCGCTTTGCACTTATTGCTTAAATTTCTCACCACAGTTTCGGGAAATGAATAAAAAAATAATGAGAAAGCCACCAACCCTTTTAACCCATAACGGACGGCCAGTGTATTTTTCGCGTGCGCCACCATGTGGCGCACGCCGCCACCCAGGGTAGGGTTTATGTAGGCTTATGTGAACAGCAGGGGTAAGACGGGGCTAAAGTAGGTGTCGGAGTCTCATCATCCGAAAAAAAGAGATTTCCGTTGACGACAAGTTCGTAGCCCGCCTTTCCGCTCTAAAACTAGGGTGCAAAGAATGAATGGAAGCTGTAGGTGACATTATCGAAAAATGCGAAACAACAACCCCGAGCAAGGATGTGGCTATATTTAGGGGAAGGGGTCTCGGGACGTGCGAACCATGGGTAAGCCACCCATCAAATAGTAAACTTATGTAAATTAAGACAAAATGTATGTAAAATTTATTGTAGGTTTGTCAAAAATCCAGCCGTCCAGGTCCTGGGAAGATATGTTATTCCACATTGCTGAGAGTATATACGGGTATATTAAGATTGCTAGAAACATTCCAAAAACAAAAGAAATAATCGTGCGCCACCTTGTGGCGCACGCCGTCCGTTATGGGTTAATTTGGTTAATTATGAAGGGCATTTACTGGCCCATTCTTTACACTTGCGTTTTTAGCCATAAGCCAAAGGCGATCTTGGTGCTGTTGAGCAGGACCGCTGTCGTTATACCGAGGCCATAATTCGAATCAACGCAGTTTTTGATGCATATTCATCACCTCCACGACTAACCATGCGCTCAACCAATTTCTGTTATTTTACGACTTTCCTGTAGGGATAGGGATCCCCATACACCACCACCGCCAAAGCCATCACCACATATGAGAAGGTGGTCGCCCACAAATAGACCCTCCCCCTCTTCAACACCGCCTCGCCTGTCGAGCGGAAGAGGGCAGGTGTTTACAATGACACCTCCAACTAGTACAAATCTCCCCATAAAACCACAAATACGACCACTTTTCGACCCGTTCCAACGGATGTTTGACCCTCATCACACTACTATTTGATGAGCTGCTTAGCACACGGTCGACGGACTACTTCAACACACCATCAGTACTTTGAAACGCCTCTGCGCTCTCTCGCGGTCTCCCTCTTTTCTTCAAAGGCTCAGTACCAGAGTATTTCACCCGTTCTTGAATCTCTAGCCGGTTTACGGACTACTGATTTTTCCTCAATGGTCCTGCCGCGATGGCTAGAGCACAGACGATTAGAGAACGGGTGAATGTTCCTAGGACTAAGCCTTGGAGAGGAGAAGGACCCTGCGAGAGAACGCAGAGCGGTTTAAAGGGCTGAGTTCAAGTAGTCCGTCGACCCTCTCCACATGCCGCTGAGACAGCGTTCTGCTCATCGGTCAGCATCTTTAAAACGGTTATAAAATAATTTATAACTATCTTTCCTCTTAAAACTCTGAATAGAAACATATGATATCTATTGTCCCACTAGGATTCATGACTGAGGAAAAACAATAAATTCGCAAATGCTCACATCCAGGGTTGGTATGATTTTATTGTAAGAACCAAATGAGTACAATTCAAAAGACCAGTGATTGCAACCGGGTCGGCTCAAAAACCGTGACTCTCCACAGCAAGGCAAGCGGTGACCTCAACGAAGAAGTGCAACGAAAACGTCATAGAAACTATATTTCACATGATTACATATATCTACATGAGTTTGTACACACAGACCTCTCTAAACACGCACATGGAGAAAGGGAGGGGAGTACTGCAGGTACACATCAGCAACAGAGTAACAATCTACCCGAAAACATTCTACTTCGAGCCGTGACTCACGCGATTTCAGCAGAGAGAAGAATTGAGCCGCAGTAGACATCGCAAGTGATGTTGAGCTGGAAGTACAATTTGCTGAGCAAAGAGAAGGTCGTGCGATTAGCAATGCCATCTACTCTCTGATCGCATCCCAACAAGAATGGTAACCAGAAATACGAGAAATAGGGTCAAGGGACGACTCAAAGAAAGGGCGAAGAAAATGAGGCCTTGACTAAAAGGTCAATTTCCACGACTCTGAGCCCCTTCTGCCATTAATTCAGCAAACATTCATTTCCGTCTTGCAACCGATTTTTCTTCATATAAGCAACTCACTGGTACGATTACGGTAAAATTTATATTTTAGTATCGAACAGAACATCCTCCTTGATTTGTGACTACACCTATTAGAAGCAATAAAGAAACTCACCACAGTCCCGACGTTCACTGAGATCGGTTCCCTGAATATGAAAAACGTTCCGCGATCTTGTCGCGTAGAATAATAGTGATCCAGCTGCCACCAATACAGAACACCCTCCACGAGGCCTGCAGAAGTACACCGCACCTAAAACAGCCTTGTGTGCAATCCGAAAACTAATTTTTCGAGCGGTAAAAATGGAGTTTGGGGGCCACTCTTTCTCACCTTACTTGTGGCCCTAAAGAGCACTCTTCTGGACTCTGATAAAATGATACGTAAACAACTCATTAGAGGTGTACTTCTGATGAGAACCGGTAATTTGACCTACATCGCACCCACACTACCTACATCCTATCCACTTTTTTCACCTCATCATTCACCTTGGAGTTCATAAACCCTTAGGCTTAAGCAAGGGTCCACTCCCTCGGTGCAGGACCACTTCCTCCGCACTGATACAGGCCAATGTGGAAGCACCTCAGTTCCACTATATACTATACCGATACCTATCAAAAGTACACTTCAAATGATTTAATAAAGTGTAATGAGCGCAAATACTCTCAACTTCAGTACCGAGGAGCACTTGAGGTGCCCCAAACTCCACTTTCACCTATTTGAGCATATCAAAAACCTCAATCTTCTTCGAGAGCAATTCCGTGTCTTCTTCTCCGAGATGAAGAAAGCGGAACTCATTTGAACAAATGTGGTGTTCGAAAGTTGCTAAAAGAAAAAAAGAGGTTAATAGATTTAGAAACGCGTTTCTTAAGCAACTTACAAATCTCAATATCCCTATATTCTAGCAGATTGTACATTTGAAGCGGAGACAAATCAACACCACAGAGAGAGTCTTGCTGTACACGCGTAAGTTTTGACAAGCGTTCTGATGAAACGAGAACTCCATGAGCAGAAAGACGATCTGCAAAAACTATAGATCATAATTCAAAATTGTCAGCAAAGAAAACATTATTTCAAGACAAAAATTTTCAGAAGCATTATTGCAGGTTCGCGGGCAAGAGAGATCTCGCGCCTAGTGGCGCTGCAAATCACGCCTATGCTCCTGGGATCAATCCCTAGATCGTGTTTCCTCCAGGCCACCCCTCCACTCCTCCGAGATCGGTCTGGGAGGAAAAAAACACTGACTTGTACATCGGCTGGCCCCCGCAAGTCATTGTATAGGCCACATCGCATTCAAAAAGCCACTACGAATGTTAAATGGAAGTAAAATGCGTGCCGCATCCCAAGAAAAGGATTGATCAGCGTTGAATGTTCCATTCTTTTTATCCTTCAGTGCAAAACCTAAGCAAGCTCTTTCCGATCGCTAATTCCATATCAAAATCATATCGATCGATACGTATTTGTTCCACAATTGGACGGCGAAGTAAAAAAAAACATGCTCAACTCACCAGTGAGGAATCCACAATGTTTCAGCGAAGGCGGTATATCCTCTCTGGCCCGTAAAGATCGAAGTAAGTTCAAAAACACTTCACTGACTGATCCATCACCCCGTATTGGCCACACAACAACACATTGATCAGCTAAAAAGTATCACACACTGGTGGGAAATTCTCCTATACACCACTGTAAACAGTACATCAAGAAAGAAAATACTGACCATAGCCTTCATCCACTTCTCTATCGATCGTACCATTAATATCCTTTGAATCTATTAGGAAGTGCGGCAGGTATCTTCAACAAAACTAGTGAGATAAGCGTGAAGGTAAGCATTTTTACCACTAACCTTACAACTCCAAGTTCTTCGGCGCTAAGCTCCCCATCTAAATTCCACGAATATCTGCTAATAGAAGGTAGGAGTCGAGTAATCGCAAGAAGCAGCATGTCGTTGTTCATAGTACGGTAATCAAGTTGACTTCGCACAATTAGCTCGCGGTTAAGATGCATCTGAACAATCGAGATTGACCTGCGGTTCTTTGAACATTTGAAAAAAAAACTAAGCTCGGTCATAATTTGTAACTCTACGCAACAACAGTTTTATGCGAAATCAAGTGCAACGCCTGGTCTTTCTTTAGTTTCTCATCTTAGTTCTAACTCGGGTAATATGCAAAAGATGTGAGCACGTTCAGCCATCACCAGTGGTCACCTAATATCTAAGCGTACATTAGGAACTTATAGAGGCTCAAAAAGTCAGAGTTCCAGCTCCGAACACACCAGTGAAGTTCACAAAGGGAAACGAGCCAGATGGAGTTTATGGTCCCATAGCTCCAGAATGTCCTTCGATAAACAGACCCATGGCCACTGTTCATACCTTCTTAAAATACGAAACCATACACCACCGCAGATGAGTTCAAAGCCCAGCGTGCTAGCGCAGTCTTAGGATTTCCTCGATCGACTGTGGGAGGGCCTCCTCGAGACCGCCTCTGATTACAGTACTTAAAGAACTATCAGATCGGACAAAAACTTGGCTTATGGTTCACGGATCCGGTTCCAGACACGCTGTCTCGAGAAGCTACTAAAACTGACGCACGGCAATTTGTTTTTTTTATTGTTTGTGTGGTCAGCCTTTTGAAGTCGGGAGAACATTTCCGTTTTCGTGGAGTCTGGCTAGAAGCTAACGCTACCTACTACATTTAGCCACCTGATTACAATTTTCAAGCAGTCATAATCCCTCTCCACATACACTCTCAATTGCCGAATACGGACTGTGTTCAGCAAGGCTGGTGCAAAGATGACAACGGGACAAAAAAATTCGAACCTCTTCAGAATTCTCTGTGACATCCACTGATATATCTAGCCTGGTCCTCTTCAGAGACCAATTCAGATTTATGATATCCCTGATTAGAACCTGAAAATACGGTTATGCTATGTAAGAAAGATAAAATCAATCCCACTAGCTTGGAAACACATCTCAAACCAATGCCTTCCAAAAAAAATTAAAAAAAAACCCACTCGCAGAGGGTATGGTAGAGGGAATATGCCTTGTTCCCAGCAAGTACTTTTCGATGTGTCTATGTACTGGATCTCCCCATATTAAGACCTGAACACAGCAAAGCTATGCAATAGCACAGAACCGGCGAGACACCCATATGATGAGCGAATCATTGTCTCCCACTGTTGCAAGATCAACCACAGCTGCAATAATCAGAATCCGCTAAAAATTGACTTACTTAAAGTGGACGACAACGGCGTGAAGCGTTCCGGAAGAAACGACAGGAACCTGCCAGAAGGAGAGAAATCCAATTAGCAAGTAAGCTTGATTCATGGAAAAAAAAATAAGAACTCGAAAACAGCACGCTCTCACTCTCTCCAAAAGCTCTTAGTAATTCGTAACTTGTTTGTTTCAATAGAACCGCACTGACCAAATACGTATCGATGCAGTTCATTGACGTTTTGGAAGTCCACCGTGAGCACCTTGTGGGATGATGAGAGCTGCTTTGCGTCGACCAAGTCCGACACTCGCGTACACCAGTACGGCTCATTTGGTTCTGAACATTAAAGAAAAATATCTAGAACAGTTCTCAATCGTATTACCGATCCAGATTCTAAAGTCAGATTCTTGTTCAGCAGGACTACGAAATCCACATTTCGACCTTGTGCAACAGCACGAATTCACCCAATATGCTTTAGCTTCCGAATGGATGGGACGTACAGCAATTTGCGGAGAGGTGTGGAAAACTAAAGACGTCCAGCTTACAAAAAAGGTCAGTAGACAGTCCCAAAGAGAACTGGGCGTACAGCTTATGGAAGTACGCAGCCTGAACGCCGAACAAGGATCAATTTTCCAATCTAGCGTGAAGAAAGTTCTCCGAAGAATTACTGCTCTACTCACTCTGCCCATTACATGGAACATATTCGGACCGATACTCCTTGCCGGACGGTGATGTGAAGGCATGACTGAGGTAAATCGAGGGCGACTCTAACAAAGTCGCAAATAGGGTGACCTATAAAAGTGAGTTGAGGGGATCGCAGAGACAAAAATGAGTGAAGAAGTCTCACGTTTGAAGGTATGAATCGGGCCGTATTATTTGCGAGTCTGAGATGGGCATCAAGAAAGGCAGGTATCACACCTTCACCAAATGCACAACAATCGAGAATCTCCGATACAACCACATCTGCCTAAACAAACCAACATGAAGTGAATTACTGTGGGAATAAACTCACCAGCGCATGTAATGGTTTGTATGGAAAGTTGACAGTAATGATCTCTTACCAACTCGTCTTCTTCCGGATCGTATTCATACGAATACTCGTGTATGACTTTAGCATTGCCCACTCCATTCAAAGCGAGAGTTCTCTTGGCCATCTGGTAAAGCGTTGGATTTGCCTCAATCGCCGATATCTTCGAAGCGCCACATCTGAAAATAAAAGGAGAATTCAGTGCATCCACTTCACACTGTTCAGAGTGTATTAAACTTGATGAAAAGGGAAAAAAGAAAAAGCATTCTCAGAAAAGACCTCAACTACTGCGGAATCATGGAGACTCATAGATCGAGTCGATGTCCAGGTGTTCCTGGTATGAGGTGGGTGTCCCAGAAGGGACGAATTAAAGAAAATGTTGCATAGCAAACCTAGCCGCAAGACACTCAATATTCCGGTTCCAGTGCCGATATCTAGGACATGATCGGTAGGTGAAATTGTGTTCTTCAAGGCTTCCAAGAATTTCATGTTTCTCTCCTAAACCTCCATAATTTTAAAACGAAAGAATTACGATGAAACACGGAGGAAGCAAATGTTCACCTGATCATTGATCATAAACATGTGCCACTGGTCAAAAACACCGCTCCGGATGTTAGCAGAGGAGACCCGAAATACAGCACCCATCAAATGATCGCATTCAGCGTTAATAGCTGCTTTGAGGTTGTCGTAGGAGCACACACCTGTCTCGCCAGTGTCTGCAATTGACAGACTTGAAGTGATTACGATAGGTTAAAGAAGGGATTATAAGAGACTGGTGGTGCTCAATGGTGCGCCAGTGGCGAAAAAAGTGGAGAAATCCGTCAAGGAAACGCAAAACGGGACCCATTTTTGGTCGTGCTTCCTCCTGAACACGTAAAAGTCAGATAGCAAGCGTATGAACGAGTCCACCGCAGCGTTTGGCCACAGCCCGTTTGGCCAATTCATGCTCCAATCGAGTTGCTTCAGTTATGCCGCTGCTGGCAACGCAGCTCTTCCAAATCTCCAACTAACTTAACAACATTAACTAGTGGGTGATCGTTTCTGGGGACGGAGTGCTTTTGAAGTCCTGCTCAGTAACCAGCACACCTTTCATCGTGAGAGCGCCACACCTCGCTTCCTTGGCAGCTGAGAAACTGATTCGTATGATGCATCTGCTTCCCCGATGAGATCACTCTCATCATAACCGCTTGTTTGTTAACGATTCTCTTTCACAACAATTCACCTTACTTCCAGTTTTCAATGGATCTCACTAGTAACAACCACAGAAACGGAAGACATAAGACGAAGGATTGAGCTATAGTGATTCTCTTTCGAGCACAATGCAGCAGATTATTCATCGCCATAGTTTGGCAAGTCGGTCAGAAGCTGTGAAACTAGCGAATGGTGCTGCCACAAGTTGACTTTCAATTCTCTAACACACCCCACCACCACACCCGCCGACCCCCCACCACACACCCACACACACAACCCACCGTGAGTCGGGAATACCCCCTATAATCCTTGGATATGGAAGTGATCGGCACAAAATCTAGGAGGTGACTCAAGGAAGTGCAGCATTTACGATATATCGAGATATTTGCGCCATAGTGGAGGCACACTTCAAGATTGGCGGAGACGATCGAAAGGCCACTCTTTGCTTTGTAGTGACCTCAATTAGCAAGCTGTAGCTAGAAACAAGCCGCCCAAGCGAATAATGCCGATAGACTATCGAAATGGCGCGTATGAGCTCGTCTATTTGTAGTCGCTTCCCTGGTCTCAAAACAAAATCCTATAGGTTAAGATTAACAAAATCATCTCCCGTATTATAGAAGGCAGCCCAGCGCATGTGCGAAGCCTACGAAAGTACTTTATAGTGCTGATTCTCGAAAAAAAAAACTAGCGTTTAGAAAATGGGAGAAAGATGAAATTTCCGAAGTTGAAAGACAAAAATAAATGAGGCAAAGAAAACACAAAGTGAAGAAAAAATTCGCCCCACCTTCCAGAAACATGGCACTTCCAGAAACGTGCTCCGAAAGCAATGTGACAATTGGTACGCACTTTGGGAATAAATTCAGTATGGGAGCGAACAAAGCGCTGAGACATGAGTCGGCGTTTCTTGAATAGCACATCCAGCTCTCCAGAACTGTTCGAAACTCATCAGCAAATTCGATTTCGCGTTGCTCAACATTCTGTAAAGAGAGGAATAGAGAGCTGTATATACTGAGCAGCGGTAAAATGTTACCATATCGCACCTGATAAGTGAACAGCACAGTAAGATAATGCCGAATCGCCCTATCCCACCAGCCCTCAGCAGCGTACTTTCTTGCCAAGTACAGCGAATATTTCATGTTGGCTTCACAGTATACAGATTCGAGTATCCAAAGAAACAACAGTCATCTGAAAAGCGATGAATATGTAGAATGAAAGTCGAAACAGAATACATGGGGCGCCTAAATCGTCGAGAGGTTTCTGAAGGAAACCAAAAAAAACTGAAAAAAAATTGAAAAGGAAAGAATCAAGCGCTCTTCATCAGGATACAGAGACAGAATCCTGAGCAAAAAAGCGGTGATGTCACAAGACACGG